CATCTGGCACCAACAACCATGCCACGTTCAAAGTCACTTAAATCACCTTTCTTCCCCATTCTGATGCTCGGTTTGAACTTCAGCAGGTCGTCTTCACCATGTCTACATGCCTAAATACATTGAGTTGCTGCCACGTGATTGGCTGATTAGCTATTTGTGGTAACAAGCACCTAATGAAGTGGCCAGAAGTGTAAATATTACAAAAAAACATGAGTAAATGCATCTAGGATTGAATTCTAATCGCCCTGTTCCTGCCAGATGTTCTGCATTCATCTCCAAAATGCAAACAAAAGCTGGTTCTCTGGAACGCTGGTCTCTTTCACTCACTCACACACTCTCTCTCACACACACACACACACACACACACACACACACACACACACGAGGGCTTGACTGAACTACAGTGTGTTCTAAGATAAGAGTGCGGTCAGATAGACTGTGATCAGGGCTACGACCTCCGTGATAACCACAGCTCATTTCCATTGGCTGTCCTTGTAGCCTCACACATATTTTGCAGATAGAGACAAACTGCATATTCACCAGGCTGAAGGTCCCACATTCCCCGAAAGAAGATATGACAACCTTACCAGCAATTCAGTTCACTACTGCTTAGCACGTCACATTCAGATAAAGTTCTCTAAGGGTAATACAAAAAAATGTATTTCTCTTAATCTCTTCACAGTGTCCTCCTCTGTCCCATAATGCCGCGGGGCTGCAGACTGACGTGTCTCCATCTTAAGTCTCAATCACTAGCCAGGCTTTAAGTTGGAAATGACTTTCTGATCTCAGGGACTCCGCTTTAGATTTGCTGAACAGAACACAGAGTTACACTCGCTGCACCTGCTTATGCCAGCAAATTAAAAAAAAAAACGTCCTGGCAACGTTTCAGAGTGAAGCAGACCTACAAAAGTTGGTGTCATGTGACCTGTTATTGGTTCAGATTGTGTGGGACCCTTTCCGTATGCTCATCAGTGACTCATGAATCAAAATCTACCTTTAATCATTCACATAAATGCTTTCATTTCACTTTGGCTTTAAAGTGCAGCTTGTATTAGTACATGTTAGGCCACCAAGTCTGATTGGGTTGTCTCTAAAAAGAGATGATTAGAGACAAATTCGGCCTCAGAACACTGAACAAAACAAAACAAACAAAAAAAAACAAGACAGAGATAATGGAAAAAGTTAAGGGAAAGGTGACACTGGGATGAAAAGATCAGTGTGTGTGTGTTTAATCTCCCAAACCTCCACACACAGCATGGCAGGCAGCAGGCAGGAGATGGTACTGATGGTGCTCAGAGTGAGGGGAGCAGGCGGCTTGCTGCCAACATAAATCAGTGTCATGCCCTTGAGCCACACCTCAGTAGAGAGGCACACCACTGATGCACTGTGCCTGCTTTCTAGTGTTTGGATGGATACTGACACTGAACAGAGAGTGGTTACAAAGGTTAACATATTTAATTTGAAAGTGAGGTCCCAGTTCAGTGTAAAACAGCTATGCATGGTGCTGCTGTTTTAGTGAAATGTGTGTCATTCTTAAAGGCATACTAAGCAAGATTTTCCCCAAAAACCAAGACTCATACAGAAGTAATCCCTCTCAGTCATTATGACCCAGTACAAGTGTGTGGCAGTGTATTTATCTGCAGCGACCCTTTCCTCTGCCTCTATTTTCTTATTATTTTGCTGTGTTTGGGACATCTCTTGATGTTTAGCCTGCTGCCAATAACAGTATGCATGTGAGGTCGGGACTTTACAAAATGGTCTCCACGGTGTCGAATTCTCCATACACCTGCCCAACCAACTGCAAGCAGCATTGTTGATAGAAAGCACACCGATTGGCACACATAGCTGTCAATCATGACATAGCATCAAATAACTAACTCAAACCTGTCAGAAAAATGAGCACCTGAATATGCATTAGCGTGTTAAGAACTAACTACAATGACAGAAATCATCTTTGGTAAAAGTTGATTTGACATTTACTTTAAATTTATTTTTAGTTTGAACCATGTCCCATCAGCTTACATCGAGGGCACGGATTTTATGACCTATACTGCAGCCAGCCACCAGGGGGCAATTGTTTTCGCATTTGTTGTGGCATTTATCTTTATTATTCAGTCTATGGGAGGTAGTAGCATGGGGCGTTGGTGACTTAGTGGTAGAGCAGGCGCCCAATGTACAAGGCTGTTGCTGCAGCGGCCCGGGTTCGACTCCAGCCTGTGGCCCTTTGCTGCATGTCCTTTCCTCTCTCTCTCCCCCCTTCACACTGACGCTGTCCTATCCATTAAAGGCAAAAACACCAAAAAAAAAAAAAAAAAAAAAAAAAGGGGAGGTAGTAGCACAGATCCAAGAGGAGGCTAAGAAAATCATGGGTACAGCACCAAAAAACCCTCAAACATAGCGAGGTTAAACGGCAAGTGGACAAAGCTCAAAATGAGAGTGAATCTGGGATTGATTTTACTTTCGATTTCGCTGGTGAGCACTGAAGGAGAGGACGGGAGACACAGAGTTGGCCTGTTTTCTGTTGAACAGGTTGCTTTAATATCAGCTTTTCTATTACAACAAATGTAGCGTTCCTAGCCTGGAAATCCAGACCCAAATCTAGAAAGATTTAAGGTCTGGCTATGAGTAATGCAAATGGCCCAACTCGAGGGGCAGCACCAAGCATGCATTTGAAAATATCACTGCACACAATTGGATAACACTACGACCAATCAGAACAATACATGGGGTGACGTATGCGCTTAGCTACCAGCGGAGCTAACTGGTAGATTAGACTCTTGCCGTATCTGGTCGGCAAGACAGCAAAAAGGTCCTTCTTGCAAAGGAAAGATTAGAGCGCTGTCTTCTGTTCCTCTTTTAGAGAAAAAGCCAACTCTAACTCGGTCATTGTAGCGGCCAAAGCCATTTCAAACAACTGGTGTTCATCCGTAGCCATCTTGCAATGTTTACTGACTGATTCCGGACTTCGTCGTCGCAGTGCTGTCGTCATCTGTTTAGCTCGCCTCTGGCCCGCCTATATCAGATACACCAATGTGATTGGTGCAGCTCGGCTCCAACGGCATGGGTAATGAGCATCATTACTGATTGCCAGAGTGACTCACTGAGCAAATTCAAATTGTGCTCTCGCGAGAACTCTGGATTTCCAGGGTACAGCGTTCCTACAATAGTGCAGGAACTTGCAGTGCACGTACAAGCAGTGTCAGGAGGGGAATGACCTTAAACTCCTGCATAGTATACCTTTAAACAAGGTTGTGTTAAACTGAAAACTTTTTATGACTTATTTATTAATGCCACATCGAATGCAGTTTAATTTCCATTTATCAGCTATATTGATTAAAGTATAGAAGTAGAATGGAAAATCTGTGTGGACAATATGGCCCAGGATTGTCTATTAATATATTACTTCTTTTCAGCATAAATTTATTACTGCAACCTGGATGAGGATGAGCTGCAGAAAAATGATGAATTCATTTAAGGTCATTTGTGTTTTTTCTGGTCTTGCATAGCCAGACATGTGCCAGGGCTGGAGCAAGGTCTGGCTGAACCCATAACAATTCCACACTCTGGTTTGTCTTTCATATCTTTAAACCAATCACAATCATCTTGGGTGGTACTGGGCCCATAGTGTTGGTGAGGAGTGTTGGTGAGGAAACCGCAATAAAAGACCTGCTATATAAAATATTAAAAGATTTTTTAGCATGTATGCTAAGCATGCTAGCTTAGAGGTTGCTGTTGCAGGTACAGCGCTAAAACAAAGTGTGGAGATAGGTCTGGCTACCTGAGACTAGTTTGAAGTAGTGACAGGGATTTTGAAAATAGCCGGTGGCCAATGACAGCCTTATACCGCGCCCAGCAGGAAGAGTCTGAGGCTATGATGCCAATTTGAAATAGTGGCCAAACAGTGGAATTACAACCTCCAAGTCTGTCATGTAAAGTCATTAGGGCCAAAAAGACTTCTCCCCATAGACCGACATCATGTAAGAGATGTCCGTTTATAGGTGGATGATTTTTTTTTTCTTCACATACATCAACTTCACAGTAGCAACACTTAAATAGCTATTATTATTATTTTTATTTTTATGATTATTTTTCTGGCTTTTTTGCCTTTAAAGACAGGACAGTTTGAAGTGTGCAGAGAGAGATGACATGCAGCAAAGGGCTGCAGCCTGAAGTTGAGCCTGCAGCCTGCAGCCACCATGGCAGGGACAGGGCCTTTGTTCATGGGGCGCCCGCTTTACACAGTGAGCTACTGGGCACCCTGTGTTTAAATAATTTTGTCCGAAAAGTTGTAAAATTCACAAATAGATGAATCCAGAGTTATTTTCCTGCTGTCATTCATGTAAGCAAGCTCAAGGCCGAGCTGTTAGGAGGCATGGTTAAAGGGAACGCTTTAGTGTTTGTTGAAAGGGCCAGTGGATGCAAAAGATCCAGGTAATTAAACTTTTTGGCTTCATGCACCCCTGAGTAACTTTGTAAACAAGGCCCCATCTCCAACGCTGCATCCACTTCTCTGTATTCATCTCTGACCTGTGCCCACAGTCTGCATCCTGTGAGCCAGGCTGGGTTTTGTCTCAAAATGAACACTGTCCGTTATGTGAGGGTGAGTTACGTAGCTGGCAGCAGTGACAGTGTTTGCTACAGGCCTGATGGTGCTGACTGAACCTCCACAAAAAAGGACTGAAGCCATTGAAGGCAGTGTGGCAACAATCCTACTTTTAGTTTCTTGGCTGTGTTGGGCAGTAACGCTTTACGTTGTGTGTTTTTGACTGACTTTTTTGTGTGCAGCCACCGAGGATAAATAAGCTGCTGGGTGGTCAGTAAATCCCTGCAGATTGTAGGGCTGCCTGCTTTTAAACCGCAATGTTTCCTTTTCTATTTCTACACATTAAATACAAAAGATGTGACATGTGGGTAAGTACGAATTTAGGAAACTAAACACAATGCTTTTCAAGACTTCTCAACAGTGAGTGACGGGGTAACAGTGATTAAGACAAACACTGTTTTTATCTTGACATCCTTTTAATCAATCTTTCCTTTTTGACATTTTTTGAAGCTCAGAAGCAAAACAAACACTTCAGAATAATCTTAACAAGCAGTAGACACTGTCAGTAAAAGAGTTAAAACAAATGCCAACACGTGAATCTCCCACACACATTTACCATGCCTTCATCTTTAAAACGAAACAATGAAAATTATATAAAATCTGACTCATCTGTCTTACTCAACTAACACTGAACATCACCACCACAGATTTGAAACTGAAGAGATGAATCATTTGTATAAAAAAAGAGAAAATGCTGTGATCTTCGCATGTATCATACGTGAAACACAATTAGCGAGTCTGAAATAGTGTTATGTGTAATCAAGCAGTAAAAACGCTTTGCTAAAATGTCATTAAATTAAAAGGTAAAAGTCACTTCCATCACATTTCCGCTGTCTCACAAACGGCCTGTTGAAGGAAGTGAACAACTAAATATCAGTCTTTGTTTGGCTGCCATTTAATGAGATGACTCACTTGCCGGCCCTCTGCTGCCTCAGTCAGATATGCTGTTATCTCGCTGGGGGAAAAAGTCGGACACCAGTCAGAGACCAGTGGAAGACGCGTTAAATCGGCAGGCAGCTGTTTGAATGACTGGGACAAAGTTCAGCCGGCCAATTTGCGGATGTTACTGAGGAGTCTCCTGCTGTATTCCCGGTGGTCGACTGGCTGGACTTCCATTACGGTTACCTTCACTCGACTCTCATCCTGAGGAGGGAGGGAAAATCTTGAGTTAAGTGCAGCAACACCAGAGAGAGAGACATTTCTTGATGTAGCAGGGATGAGAAGGCTGTGTAATGGAAGATCTGTGCAAAGGCTGTAAATGAAGTAGATTTACTGTACAGATTAACTTCAGCTCTGCTGGTAGGTATGTTCAGTAATCTCAGACTGTTTTAACATCTCTTTGAACCATTTTGTATCTTTCTAGCACTTCCTCTGATGGTTACTACTTTTGTGTTACATTACTACAAACACTAGCAAGCGTTGGCCATCATAGCTCAGGCATAACTGCATAATTAAAGGTCCAGTGTGAAGGATTCAGGGGCATCTATTGAGAGTGGTAGTGTCATAATCACAACTATGTTTTCATTTGTTTATAGGCACATGAAAATAAGAATTGTGTTTTTCTGGACACCTTAGAATGACCTGTTTATATCTACATACAGAGTGGCTTGTCTTCCACTGAGTCCACCATGTTTCTACAGTAGCCCTGAATGGACAAATCAAACACTGGCTCTGGATAGGGCCATTCACGGTTTTAGGTCAGCCACCATGCAGGAGAAGTTTCAGTTTTGCAATCTCACCACCTGATGTCACTAAATTTTACCCACTGGACCTTTAACAGTGTTACTTTGATTTTGATATGCATGATTAACTAGAGCAGAGGTTCCAAACTAGTGGGTCGCGGTCCAAAAGTGGGTCGCAGGTCCATTCTGAATGGACCGCAAGTGACTTGCAAACATGTCGACTTTGTAAAAAACACACTTTATTTTATTTTTAAGTACAGTGAACTTCCAGCACAGAGCTTTTATTTTGATGTGCTGTTTCCTGCTGTAGAGTGAGTGAATAAGGAACAGCCAAACGCAAGTATGACGCTGAATATACTAAACTGTGTGGACCTTGAACTAATAACTGAGGAGAAATCTGGACCCTGTGGCTGCACCAGTTGGAAACCACTGAACTAGAGTATTACAAATACAGATCCAAGACTTGCAGCAATACAACAGAACTACAAGGACTGAATATTTGAAAATTTGGACCTGGCCTGACTTGAGTCCAAGTAGTACAGGTTTTGTGATAAACTAGGATAAAATTCCCATTGGTTAGTTTTACCATTTAAAATTTTAATGATCATTAAAACGGTGTTTGATTACCAGGCTTTGCGTCAAGGAAAACCTGGCGGAAGGCAGTGACAGCACTTAGGTGAATTTTCAGCCTTATCATTAACAGAGTGGGCGTGCAGCAGGCAAACCCAGTGATGCTACTGGTCTCTTGTTGTCATCTACAATGACAGAGACACTAAAGCAAGCATTTTAAAGACAGGCTGCTCAATCACCAATATAAAGTAAAGCTTGAGGAACGATTTCAGTGTGTGTATCAGTACGTTTTTAAAGACATTTTTACTACTTACAATGCTGCAATAATACTGATAAGTGTGATCATTTTGGTCAATATAGTCAAGATGTGACATTTTTGTATTATTTTATCTCTAGGTTCAAGTCAATCTCCAAGTCAGGAACCATAAAGACGTCTATGTTGCACGCAACATAAGGGGAAACAGAGCCTGAAAGGTGGAATGTTCAACTTCTAAAAATCAACAAAGCAGGACGTTCATCTTTTATTGACAAGATAAACAGCAATAAATGTAATTTAATTTGACTAATTACACATTACTGTTTGAATTATAAGGCTAAACAGTAGAAATATAATGCCACTTGGAGATAAACAATCACATAAGCACGTAGATTTACAATAGGAAAGATAAAGCCTTACAATTCGTTGTCATTCAGTCTTAAATTCTGATAACAGTCTCTATCAGCGAGATATTTTCACATTATATATCATCTAAGAATGCAGTGGGTTCTCATGAAGACATAATGCCAAAGCTCATTTCCATTATAATCTCACTATACAGAGGATTAATCCCGAGACAATACATTAATCAATTAGCGATTCAGTCGGCATAACCAGCATCAACGATATAACATTTGCCCATTATCTTATATGTGGTTCAACACCTCTATTAGTATTTTCAATTTGCATCTACCTGAGGATGGCAGGGAAATGAGACAATACGGGGGGCCACGGAGACAAAGGTTCCACTTGACAAAAGGTGACATCTTATTTAAAAATAATGTTCCTCCAAAGAATGAGGCTCTGTGAGGAAGAGGGCTCGTTAATTTAATGTGCGCAGACTAATAATTCCTATCACATCTAGAGAAAACAATTACTCAGTGGCCTAACATTATACCCTTACTCGCTCACTCAATTTCAGATGGTGCGGTGAGGTGGGGCTCTTCCCTGAAGAATTAAAACGACATGACTTCTGGATGCTGGAAGACTGACAAGACGTGGAGACACACACCCTCACACACATGCAGCTCTTACTACCTCACAGAGGATTAATGAGATACTGTGCTGTACAATAAAAATAAATGAAATTGGAGATCTCCACAGAGAAATTTCGATATTTCGAGACGTGTAAAATATAATATATCAGTGAGAATTATATCAAATTTACAAACATATTATCTTCTAGACATGCTAGTGCAGTGGCTCTAAGGTCAGCTTTGGTCCACAATAAACTAGCTCAACAACTACTGGATCAACTGCTATAAAAATGTTGCACAGTATTAATATTCATGGTCCCCAGAGGACGAATCCTACTGACTTTGGTGATCCCTTAATTTTTCATCTAGCGCCATCAGCAAGTCAACACTTTATAGCGCAAATGCCACAAGCCTCAGCTGTACTTTGTGTTTAGTGCTTATCAATATTTGAGCCCATCAGCTTCCAGTCTGATGATGACAAACTTCTGGGGGATTAGGGTGTAGCTAGTGGATAACTAGTCCAAGAATTCCTCTTTCGTGTGTCGGCCATCCCTGTACAAAGATATTTGCATCTAAATACACATAAATAATTAAAAAAGCAAACATCAGACAATAGCTGATAAGTTCGGAGATTGCATTTCAGCTAATTCACCTCTCCTGCGCTCCACAGGGACTATTTACCTGCAGCTCAAATGTGACTGGTCAATACTACTTGGACAACAAACGGACTAGAAATGGAATACAGGTATCTGTTGATAGGGACTGAGTGCTAATAGTCAAATGTTACCATGCTAACACAAACTAAGTTGCTAAAAATGGCATATCTTCGACCTGTTAAACATCAGCATGGAATTCATTTGTTCCAACCTCCATCAAACTTTTAAACAATTCTGCTTGAGGCCAAAGATTGTGCAATAATTTTTATAGCACTTTATAGTGCTTTTATCTTGGTGATCTTTTAGCATGTGTGGCGTCAGGGGCGTCGTTTCAGCAAAAGCTAAGGTACGGCAATATGACATGACGTCACAGAGCTACTGATGATGGAGTTTCAAAAATATGAACTTATATAAAACTTCACTTTGGTCTTTAACCTGTCAGAAGTACATACTATGCTATTGAAAACTGTTTCAAAGGACATGAAGCTGTTTCTCACATTCATAATACCTCATGTCTGCATGTAATGCACGACTTGGTGAGAGCAGTGAAAACATCGGACCTATTTCGGCGCATATTTCAGCACCACCGACAGCGAGCGGACGTTTAATTATCATTAGTCATGTGTTTAACTTCACAGAAAATAAAGAAAATAAATTAATTACAAGCGCATTTCTAGAATTAACCAAGGGGTCTGGTGTATGAAACACAGTAAAACAAAGTCCAACTTGGTACAATACTGTATAGGCGAATTTATTGGAGTGTCTCCAGAGACCGAAAATACAAGCTTAACATGCCGACATGAAGAAAAAACCCCACATACAATCAGACAGGCTTCAAGACATCATTTAGACAGGCTGTCTACAGCAGCAGAGCTAAATGCTTTTACAACACATAGATAACTCACATAACTCATAACTCACGGAGGAGCGAAGTGGCGAACAATTTGATTCAATAACACTCGTATTCTCTAACACTCGAGTTCACTGATGAGCATACTATTGACCTGTTTAAGTGCAATACAATGAAAACAACCAGCCAGTGTGCCTCGGACTATCTAACATATCACATCTGATCACTTGCAACAAATATGAAGGACACTCACAAGTAAGATGACTACAGAACCTCTCTCTTTTTTTTTCTTCTCCCAATTCCAAGGTATGGCAGCTGCCATACCTCGCCATACCTAAATGACGCCTATGTATGGCGTATGTATGTGTTATGTGTAATGTTATGGGATATGCGCAATACTGTTATGTAATTGCTGTTGGGATGGTATGGCTGTTGATGTACTGTTCGTTGTCATTGTGGATGTCAAGGCATTTATGGCGCACTTGCTGAGTCCAAGACAAATATCCCTTAGTGGGACAATAAAGTCTATCGTATCGTTTTGTATTGAATGTAACGACCTAAATACATGGGACACGACCATGAAAGCCACGCTTGCCTGTGTGGATATTGCGCGACTCTTCTCTACTTTTACGTGGTTGGCCTGTTTTTTTTGGGGGTGTCTACGCTTGTCTCTGGAGCCCTTTAATATGTAAAAACTACATTAAGTTGTGCAATTAAAACAAAACAAAAGAAAACAAAAAAAATTTCACATTAAAATAAATCAATCGAATCGATGCCTCCTGTTTTTAAAACTATCCAGTTACTTATTTAGTACCAGTCAATATTGCCTAAACACTTCCAAACCGTGCATAAACAACTGCATTATCACTTGGCAAAACACAATATGCACACAGGGAAGCATGTAGCAATCACATGCTACAAAGACATCTCTGAAGCTCCACCCCTCCTCGTGATGCATCACGTCCATGCTCCATGTATTTCATCCATTAGTATTGTAACTGTGAGTCTGTGGGCATGCTGGTGTTAGCCTGTAGCTGAAAGCACTGCTAAGCACGGCCTAAAATAGCTGCTAACGTGGCTATTTATTTTCTGTTGATCTTTGAATTTTTAAGTCCGTGACACCACTAAATGTGTCATTGCAAATGGTAGATA